CCCTGCAGGACTACGCTCCGAGGTTCTGCAGGGGGATCATAGCTCAAAGCTGATGGGCCATCCTGGGGTCCGCCGCACCACTTGCAGCGATGGTTCTGGTGGCCGTCTATGGGAGCGATACGCAACAGTTTGTGCAAGCCTGCTTTACCTGTTGTCGGTCCAAGCCTTCCAATCTTGTTCCAGCGGGACTACTTCAACCTTAACCAATACCTCACCGTCCCTGGTCCCATATTTCATTGGACTTTGTTACTGGCCTGCCCATCTCAGGGGGTAACTCGGCTATTCTTACCATTGTGGACAGGTTCAGCAAGATGACCCATTTTGTCGCATTAACCTAGCTCCCCTTAGCCAAGGAGACGGCGCAGCTTGTCCTCACTCACGTTTTCAGGATCCATGGGCTCCCCCCTGGATGTAGTCTCGGACCGAGGTCCCCAGTTCCCCTCAGTGTTTTGGAGGGAGTTTTGTTCACTGATCGCTGCCACAGGGAGTTTGTCCTCTGGGTTCCACCCGCAGTCTAATTGGGAGACCGAGAGGGTGAACCAGATTCTCGAGACGACCCTCCGCTGCCTTATGTCCGAACATCCCACCGCCTGGTCTGAACGTCTTCTGTGGGCGGAATATGTGTACAAATCCCTGACCCGTTCGGCCACAGGACTCTCTCCCTTCCAATGTGCCTATGGGTATCAGCCCCCCATCTTTCTTTCCTTGGAGAGGGAGGTCACCTGCCCATCTGTTCAGTCATTTGTTCGGCAGTGTAGGAGAGCCTGGTCCCGATCCCGGGTTGCCAGAGGACGATACACCCACTACGCAAACCGCCGCCACTCTACGGCACCCTCCTACACCGTGGGTCAGAGGGTGTGGCTCTCCACCAAGAATCAGCCCCTTCAGTCAGACTCCAAGATTAGATTTGTGGGTCCATTCCCTATTGAAAGAACAATCAATCCAGCTGCCGTCCGATTAAAACTACCTCGTAGTATGAGAGTCCATCCCATTTTTCACGTATCCCAGATCAAGCCTGCGCTTGAGAGCCCCCTTTCCCCGGCCACACCCCAGCCACCTCCTCCCCTATTGACATACACAGTCCGACGCATCATCCGCTCCCGCCGAAGAGGAAGGGGTCTTCACTATCTAGTGGATTGGGAGGGATACAGTCCAGAGGAGAGGTCGTGGGTTCCAGCCCGCCACATCTTGGACAAATCTCTAATCCGGGAGTTCCAACAACTCCATCCAGACCAACCATAAGGGTCTGGATGTAGCCTCCGTGAACGGAGGCTACACGTTCTCGTTCCTTTTCCAGTTCCC